ATGCGCGACTCTGCTAGCTATGTTCTAATATTATTTTGCAATCCTAATTATTCATTCTTGTGATTTCTTTTAATACTCTTAGAAGCACAGAGGATAAAGTGTTTCAAGCATGTGGCGGTCGAACAGCTCACAAGTAAGGGAGACATTTAGAATAAAGCTTGGGCTTGTTAAAATTGTTTTTTTTTCACAAATATACTACTAGTATTCAAAGGGCGTTACAACTTAGGCCGGCGACACACTTGGCGACTTTTGAATACGCAGATCTTTGTGATCGGCTGAATCGCCGGGTGTGCCCAGTGCAGCGATCGGGATTTTGGCCGTTTACCGCGATCAGGGTATAAAATCGCCAGTGTCCTGCCCGTCAGATATCAGCGATTTTCGCGGGCGACGTTATTCGCCGTGATTCGTGAATAACATCGCCAAGTGTGTCACCAGCTTTAGGCTTTAATTAATGAAATACTATAGACTGTTTCCAGGAGTTTAAAGGAGCTTATTGTTGTAAAAAGTCAATGTTTAGGCTTGAAGGCTAGAGAACAGGATCCTGCAGGGACCAAGTTCAATCTTGTCAAAGCCTTAACCCTTCTATTACCAGGATCTGGTTGTTAACTCTCCCCTCCAGCTGCGACACTTTCCCTTGTAAATTAGTTACAAGAATTTGGTGTTCAATCAAGGTAACAACTTCTCCCTGATAAGTTTGAGTATTCTCACGATCCGTTTGCTGGATAATGTATGTATATTGTAGGGAGAAGTTCCAGGTAAATATTGTATTGTATTGTATTGTAATCTTTATTTAGACACGATCAATTCATCAGCCTATAAAAATACATATCACATACGCTAAGATATTTAAAATTAAAACTACATACTATAACACTAAAGCTGTTTTCCGTGAATGCCGTGCGTTAGACTTAAAAAATGTCATTGATNATCGTTGGAAAAATGATCCTAGACTGTATTGCTCAGCGTAGGATACATGCCCATAACTTTCAACCCGTCAGATTTAAAACTAAAACCGACCGCAAATTTTCGTATTCTTACGTAATAAAGAAGCAATTCAGAGAATAAACAGTGCGCAATACTCTAGCGTAAGAAATAGACTAGAGAAGAAACAATGCGCGAGATTCTTGGGTAATAAACAAACAAACAAACCAGAGAAGAAACAGTGAGTGAGATTCTTGCTTTACAAACAAACAAATCAGATAAGTAAGTGTGCGTGAGACTCTTGCATAACAAACAAACAAACCAACCAGAGAAGAAACAGTGCGTCAGATTCTTGCGTAACAAACAAAGGAATCAGAAAATAAACAGTGCGCAAGTTTCTCGCGTAACAACAAACAAACCAGAGAGGAACAGTGCGCGAGATTCTTACACTACAAGCAAACATTCCAGAGAAGACACGGTGCGCGTAATTCTTGCGTAACAAATCAAAAGAAACTAGAGAACACAAAGCAGGCGAGATTCCTCTGTAACAACCGAACAAGCTAGATAACAAGCTTTGAAAGATACATGCATAGCTTCGAACAGACTAGAAAAGAAACAATGCGTTAGATACTTTCTAAACAATCAAACGCTCTGGACCGATCTAAAGCGTCGCTTGTAATTCATGGGTTTAAGCCATTCATTTGAGATTCCCTGGTGCAATTATCAGCTTCTAGTTTTACTTACCCTTCTTGATTGGCCGGTTTGAATTGTGCGATTTTCATTCGAAATTTTTGCTCGTTGTGTGAACATCTCTTAACCTACCCCATTTTTGCGTTTCCTTTTTTAGCTGTGAAAGTACTGCAGAGGAGAGTTGTGTCCCGAACGTTTATGCAAAGGAGAATTGCAGGGAACAGCCAGTTAAGGAAAAGAAAAACAAGAAGTCGAAGAAAAAAGAAAAAGAAGACCGTAAAGGTAGAAAGAGAAAGAGGAAATACAGGGGAACAAGTGACGGACAGAATCGTACGGACGAGCGTGATACTAATGAAGGCGATACGGACCACAAGCAAACAAAAAAGAAGAAAAAGAAGACAGAAAAGTAAATAGATAGTGCAATATTCA